CCGACGGCAAGTAGCACACGTGTCGGTTCTGTGCACCCATCTTGGACCACCGAACCGGACGATTCCACATATGCTCCAAGCACGGAGCAAGAGGAGACCCCGTACAACGGGGAGGACTTTGATGAAGAAGATGAGGATGACGATCTTCATTACGATCGTATGAGCGATGTACTAGAATGGTACCTCGAGAACAAGGCAAATAGAGAACAGCGGCGCCAAGCTAGGCATGCTAGGCAGGCCATGGGACAGGGAAGTCCGGGAGCTTCTAGTGCTCCATCTGGAGCCTTTGGTGGGGACACGATGGTACGTATCTCCAAGTACCTCAAAGAGGCTAGGGCCTTGAGGTGCAAATCGTTTGATGGCAAGGGCGACATCTCTGAGGCTGCCGACTGGATTAAGAAGCTGAATGATGCTTCTAAGGATATGCAAATTGGGCTCGACGTGAAGTTGAGGGTTGCTACCAGGCTACTGGATGGAGTAGCTGCTGTATGGTGGGAAGGTGTGGAAGGAAAGTTCCACGGTGAGGCCACTTGGGAGAAATTCGAAGTGGAGTTCTATAATCAGTATTACTCAACTTTTGAGGTCAATCTCAAGAGGAGAGAGTACACAAATCTGAAACAGGAGGATGGCTGCTCGGTGAGGCAATTGGAACAGAGGTTCCGAGACTTGGCACGATTCATACCAGAATACTCTTTGGATGAGAATCGAATGGCCAATCATTTTTGGGATGCTCTACAATTGGACATCCGCGACCGGGCTACTTACCAACATAACATGACTTTTAGCCAAGTTGTCGATCAAGGGCTCCTTGGGGAAACCCAATGGAATGAAAGGAAAACGAGAGACGCCGAGGAGGCGAAGAAGAGGAAATGGGGCAACTCGGGACCCCAAGACCACTCTCGGAGGCATCACGCCGGGGGTGGCAGTACATTCAGGGTGTTGAGTAGGGTGTCTTACATGACTTATATATGTAGGAACTCTAAAGATCAACGATAGGGATGCGAGAATTGTCATCGATACCGAGGCACAACGTTCATTTGTGAGCGAAGTGTTTGCCAAGGGATTGAACATGCCTTTGGTAGCAATGATGCAACCTTTGCTGGTCTCTACGCCATTGGGAGATGATGTAGAGCGGAAACACTACTATCCCTCGTGTAATGTAGAGATAGGGGAGCACTGTCTAACGGGTGACTTTGTGTCGTTAGATATGCTCGAGTTTGATGCCATACTTGGCATGGATTGGCTCGAAAAACACCATGCGAAGGTAGATTGCTACACCAAGGTGTTAGAACTAAAAGATGGAGTAGGAAACACTCTATGCTTCGAGGGAGTTAGAGGGAAATTCAACCCTTGTATCATATCGGCCATAAGAGCAAGGCGTATGATGAGGAAAGGGTGTCAAGCATACTTGGCCTATGTCATAGGCAAGGAAGGCAAGGAAAAGAGTCTCACTGAGGTGAGAGTGGTGAGTGAGTACCCAGAAGTTTTCCCTGAAGAACTCCCGGGACTCCCACCAGATCGAGGAATTGAGTTCACCATTGAAGTAGAACCCAGTACAAAACCCATCTCGATTCCTCCATATCGGATGGCACCGGCTGAACTTCAAGAGTTGAAGGTGCAATTAGAAGAATTACTGGACAATGGATTCATTAGGCCAAGTCATTCACCGTGGGGAGCACCGGTACTCTTTGTAAAAAAGAAAGATGGTACACTTAGAATGTGTATCGATTACCGTCGGATGAACAAGGTCACGATAAAGAACTAATACCCTTTGCCTAGAATCGATGACTTGTTTGATCAACTACGGGGGGCAACCGTGTTCTCTAAGATTGACTTGAGGTCAGGCTACCATCAACTAAAGATCAAGGAGAGTGACATACCCAAAACTGCATTCCGTACAAGGTATGGTCACTATGAGTTTCTAGTAATGTCGTTTGGGCTTACGAACGCCCCCACGGCATTCATGGACCTCATGAACCGAGTATTTCACCAATACTTGGAACAGTTCGTCATAGTGTTCATTGATGACATCTTGATATACTCCATGAATGAAGAGGAGCACGAAAAACACCTAAGGCTTGTGCTTGAAACACTGCGGGGGAAGCAACTCTTTGCCAAATTCTCTAAATGTGAATTCTGGCTTGGGGAGATCGGTTTTCTCGTGCATGTGGTATCGGACTCAGGCATTTCATTTGATAACTCAAAGGTTGAGGCGGTCACTAATTGGGAGAGGCCCAAGAACGTGAAAGAGATAAGGAGTTTCCTCGGTTTAGCGGGGTATTACCGCAAATTCGTGGAAAAGTTCTCGGTGATAGCATCTCCACTCACGAAGCTCACTAAAAAGGGGGCTAAGTTTGTGTGAGATGATAAGTGTGAGAAGGGGTTTCTTGAGCTAAAGAAACGTTTGACCGAAGCACCAGTGCTTGCCTTGCCCGTGCAAGGGTTAGGGTATGACATCTACAGCGATGCTAGCATTCAGGGACTGGGATGTGTACTGATGCAATCAGGGAAGGTAATTGCTTATGCTTCTCGGCAGTTGAGGAAGCATGAAGTAAACTACCCCACACATGATCTGGACCTAGGTGCTGTGGTATTTGCATTAAAGATTTGGAGGCACTACCTCTACGGAGAGTTGTGTCACATCTATACTGACCACAAGAGCTTGAAGTATGTGTTCACTCAGAAAGAGTTGAACATGAGGCAGAGAAGATGGATGGAGTTGATTAAGGATTACAACTTGATCATTAACTATCATCCAGGCAAGGCTAATGTAGTAGCCGATGCATTGAGCAGGAAGAGCTCATCATCGAGGGTTTTACTCACATGCTTACGGGCACTAAGGGCACGCGTGGAGGTATCCACGGATGGAGCGCTATTGGCCAGATTTGAGGTGAGACCCACCTTGTTAGATGAAATCAGGACATGTCAAGGCAATGACGAGGAATGTCAGAAAATCCGGGAACAGATGCTTGTGGGGCCCGTCGAAGGTTTCCGTGAGAGGGAAGATGGACTTCTGCTATTCAAGGAACGAGTGTGTGTGCCATCGGATGAGGAGCTCCGAAAATCTATCCTTGAGGAGGCTCACTCATCTGCGTATGCCATGCACCCGGGCGGTACAAAGATGTCCTGGGACTTGAAAGAAAGTTACTGGTGGTCGGGGATGAAGAGAGAGATTGCAGAATACGTGAGTCGTTGCCTTACTTGTCAATAGGTTAAGGCGGAGCACCAACACCCAGCAGGGTTACTACAACCACTTACCATTCCAGAATGGAACTGGGAGCATGTTACCATGGACTTCGTGGTGGGTCTACCACGGACGGTTAGGAACTACGATGCAGTATGGGTGGTAGTCGATAGGCTGACCAAGAGCGCTCATTTCCTACCTATCAACACTACCTATACGCTCGAGCGGTTGGCCAAATTGTACATAGATGAGATTGTGAGACTGCATGGGGTTCTGGTTACTATAGTATCGGAAAGAGACCCGCGGTTCACATCACGGTTTTGGCCTAAGTTCTAGGAGTCTATGGGTACGAAATTGAGGTTTAGCACCGCGTTTCATCCTCAAACGGATGGACAATCTGAACGGGTGATTCAGATCTTGGAGGACATGTTAAGGGCATGTGCCTTGGAGTTCCAGGGGAGCTGGGACAATCAGTTGGCTTTAGTGGAATTCGCCTATAACAACAGTTATCAGGCAAGATAGGCATGCCTCCATACGAAGCATTGTATGGGAGGAAATGCCGGACACCATTGTGTTGGGACGAGGTCGGCGAGGCTAAGCTCGAGGGCACCGAGTTAGTCGAGATCACTAAGGAGAAGATAAAAGTCATACAGGATAGGCTCAAGGCTGCTTAAGACCGGCAGAAGAGCTATGCTGATAAACGTCGGAGAACGTTGGAGTTTGAGGTCGGTGACGAGGTATTTCTGAGGGTATCACCTTGGAAAGGGATCATCAGGTTCCTCAGCCGGGGTAAGCTTAACCAACGTTACATAGATCCGTTCAAAATCCTTGAGAGGATTGGGGTTGTAGCTTACCGACTTCAGTTGACTCCGGAGTTAGAAAAGATTCATAATGTATTTCATGTCTCTATGCTCAAGAAGTATGTGCGGGACCCGTCACCCATTCTTGAGAAACCACCGGTGGAAATCCAAGAAGACCTACACTATATGGTGCAGCCGGTGAAAATCATGGACCGGCAGGTAAAGAAGCTTAGGAGCAAGGAGGTGCCGATGGTAAAAGTACTTTGGAAGAGTGATCGTGTCGAGGAGCAAACTTGGGAAGTGGAGACCCTGATGAGGGAACAATATCCATTTCAGTTTGACTACACGCGTGGATTTCGGGGACGAAATCCCAAATAAGGGGGGTAGAACTTGTAACACCGCCCCCGAGTATTTGTATTGTACCAAATTATGTATTGAACCTTGAGAAATGTATAAAAGAATTTTTACGTGATTGTAAATTTTTATCATTTCTATTACGTGAATAGTAAAATTCACGTGGGGCCCACACCGGATGTGGGGCCGCCCGATATTATCGGGACCACATATTATATTAGTCTTGGACTAGATAATATGTATATGGTGATGGATATCCTAATTGGGCCATGGCAATGGCATAGAGTTGACCGGTTGGTCAAACGGGGCCAAATTATCGGTATCGGCAATTTATCAGATAACAGCCCAAAAAGGGATTCCGTAGATTTCTAAATTAAAGTTGGGGAATCATATTGATTCTAAGGTCTAATAAGTATTGGGAACAAGTGTTATATTTTATTTGACCCGATAAAATAAAATATACTTAAAAACAGTCCGGAAAATACAACTTTCGGGATCGATTGTACACTCGGGTACACAAAGGGTTGACCTCCCACATAAGTGGGGGCCAACCCACGTCCTTGGTCTGGAAAATATCAAGGGGAGTCGCATGGAAGCATGGAAAATATCAATCTGATTGGTAAGGAGACCAATCAAACCAACCAAGGGCCCCTCCTCACATTATTTTGGGCTATTGAGACAAAAGTGAGGGGTTCCCTCCACCCACCTCCAATCAGTTCGGCCATCCCACAAGAGAGGTGAGAGAATCTCTGCAATACTCCATTCTTTGCAGCCATTTACGCACTTGAGCTAAGGAGGAAGAAGGAGGGGAAAAGAGAAGAGGAAAAGTTGGTTTTGGAGACGAAAACTTGTGTTTAGCAAGGTAAGGACTCCATTAACCCCATTCCGTTTTCTTTAATCATCTTATACGATTATTCAATTATATTGCACACCCTATGATTGTTCTACACGTTTGGAGGTGTAGAATGAGGGGTTGGAAGGTGGTTCTAAGCCCAAGAATGGACTTAGAAGCCAAAGTGACCGGTTCGCCGGAAAATAACCTTTTTTGACGTTATTTGTATTACTATGGGTTTTATGATGATAAAACCTTGTTAGTAACTTGTCTAAGGTATTCGAGGAACTTTCACGGAGTTGAAAGGGTCGCCGGAGCTGTCGCCGGAGTTCGTTGAAGTTCGCCGGAGTTTCAGCGGAGCTAAATCGGGAAGGCTAGAACTTCATAAGCTTCATTAAGGTGAGAAGACGGCTTTATGCTTTATAACTTTTGCGTGAGGCATGAGATTACCTAAAGTAATCAAGGATATGTTTTGTGAAATGATTAAAGATAACCAAGTGTTTGCTTATGCCATGATTATACATAAAACATAGTTGAAAAGCACGTTATGTAGGTTTGGTGGTTAAAAGTGTGATAACTTATTATGTGTGATGTTCCAGGGATCTAAAAAGGTATTTTTGGATCAAGGACATCAAGGAGTATATGTGTATAAAATTGCACGTTAATCGGACTCCGTTTGGGTGGTCAAACGGGCGTAGACTGACAAGTCAACTGCCATACCCGACCGGGTATTAACACATACCCGACCGGGTATTTGTTGAAAAATTGCTCCAAGAGGCTACTGCCTCCTATACCCGATCGAGTATGGGTAGATACTCGATCGAGTATACATTGAAAATTAGCTTTGTGGACTACTGTCTCCTGTACTCGATCGAGTATGGGTTGATACTCGATCGAGTATTGGGTTATGCTCAAAACGGACAGTTTTGAGCGGGTTAATGTGGGCCGTTCAGGTTGGACCCACCCACGTTGGTTCCTAAGGTTGGTTATATGACTATAGGGCTATGTATTGTCCATAGTTGAAGGAACGAAAGGTTAGCCATATCCAGGTTAGGGTTTGGTAAGGATTTAGTTTGGGGTTGAGTATCCCCGGGACATTGAATGATCCTGAAACTCGGTTGGGGTTGAGCATCCCCGGGACTATAAATGATCCTGAAACTCGGTTGGGGTTGAGCATCCCCGGGACTATAAATGATCCTGAAACTCGGTTGGGGTTGAGTATCCCCGGGACTGCAAATGATCCTGAAACTCGGTTGGGGTTGAGTATCCCCGGGATGCTAAATGCTCCCAAAACTCGGTAGGATATTATGAATGTAGAATGTAGCTGGTGAGCTAGGCATTCGGGAAAAGGGTGAGAAAGGTCAGGTAAGAACTTTATCTCTAAAAGACTCTTTGGATGAAATGACCTACGTGTCGAGTATTTTACAAATATATATATACGGTGTATCATCGGATGAATGAGTCACATATATATATGTATCACCCTATTTTTGGGTTTCATGTCTGAAACATTAGTTATTCTTCATATAGCCTGCTTGTCACTAGTACTTCTATGGAGTACTGACCCCTCCGGGGGCCCTCACATTTTTCAGGTTGAGGCTAGAGTCCTACTACCTGTACCTTTGCCTAGGGTGATCCTTCGAGGAGGAAGATGTGGTTCGTGCTTCCATTCGTATTTTTGAAATCTATAAACTGCTCATGGATTTTTGAACAATGTTTTCATTAACACAGTTGGGGGCCTGCGTGCCCGTGTTTGCCACGTGTGGCTAAATATCAAACATATTATTATTTCCGCATTTGTTTGATTATGATATTGATGTTGATTGTATGTGTTTACTAATCGGTTTGGCAATAGAATCAATCGGACGCCTTGTACAATTCAATAGGGATGAACCGTTGTTGTTCTTATCGGGTTGTACGGCGGTTGTCTACGTGGCTCGGATGCGGTCCGGGGCGTGACATATTGCGATCTGATTTCCCTCTCACTTTGACCGGGTTCTGCGATGCTGATTGGGCTAGCTGTCCAGTCACACGTCGTTCTGTGAGTGGCTATTTTGTTTCCCTTGGTCATTCCCCTATACCCTGGCTTACCAAGAAACAAACCACAGTTTCTCGCTCCTCAGCAGAAGCTGAGTATCGATCCATGGCTTCCTTAACCTGTGAACTTATCTGGCCACGCAATATGCTACAGTGTTTGGGAGTTGTGCATTCTTCACCTGTATAACTTTATTGTGACAATCAGGTCGCTCTGTATATTGCTTCTAATCCGGTGTACCACGAGCGGACCAAACACATAGATATTGATTGTCATTTTATTCGAGATCATATACAGGCTGGAACTATCTCTCCCTCCTATACATCCACTAATGAACGGCCCGCGGATTTATTAACTAAAGCACTTGGAGCATCTCAATTTTCTTATTTGCTGGCCAAGATGGATATTTGTGATGCCCATGCTCCATCTTGAGGGGTGGTGTTGCTATGTAATTTATTGTACATTTATTTTGGGTTACATTTTTTTTTGTTCCTAGTACGTACATGTGATTAGTACGACTAGGTAGTGGTTGCATTTGATTAGGTTTGTTGTATATAGGTGTAGCCTTGTTTTTTTCCTATTCTTTAGCTTAGCAGTACTGAACGGAGGCTGCATGAATTGTATATAGGCCGCAGGCCTCAACCGGGTTTATCAGATCAATACACAACAAAATTATTTCCACCTGCTTGTTTTCTATAAATTCAAAAGAATAACATGTTTAGTTTTTCATTCATCCTCAATTTACAAAGAAAGAAGGTCTTCATGATCTTCAAGAACAACTATTCTTTTCATTCATCCTCTCATTCTCTCATTCTTCCTAGGATCCTTTTCAGGTTTTCATCCTAGCCTCTCTTTTTATTTTCCTTCTTCTCCCAACTCACTCATTTTAGCTACTTTTGCTTAGATTGCCCAATTTTGGGTTTTCAACCTAACTAACATTTTTTCTTTTATTTTTATTATATATATATATATATATATATATGGTTTTTTTTCTTTTTTAAAGAAAATAATGCAAGTTCAAGTTAGAAAGAATGAGTGCATACCAAATGAGTGACTCACCCTTACTTAGTCTGAGCACTGTCCCTAGTGCTCTCATGTCGTCATTGTTTGGATATTATTTTTTTAAGGGGGTGGGGGTTTGGGATTTGAGGGGGTGGGAGAGATGAAAATATTAGGGTTGTCTGATAAATTTGTCTCAAAGGGAGAGTGAATTTTGAGGTTGTTTGGGATTTGGAGTTTGGGTCGTTTGACTATGAAAGTTGTGAGGGAGAGGTTTGAATTTGGATGAGAAGTGGGGATGAAGAGGGGGTAATTTGAGAAAGAAATTTCGACTATTATGGTTTGGAAGATTAAAGGTGAAAAGAGGTGAAGAGGTGGTTGCTATGCAAAAAAAAAATCACACACCTTGCTTGGGTTGCCTCCCAAGAGGCGCCTTATTTAACGTCGTGGCACGAGCCATCTTCTCAAGTTCAATCCTTAAACTTTGGGTCGTGATGATTCATCTTTTTCACATCTTCACCCTGGTGACTCTTATGGAAAGGCTCAACTTGCTGATCCTCCATTTCGACAATCTTTCCGGGATCAAATATCCGGATTTCTATCGCTTCATATCGTGAGAGTGAGGGTCCATGATTTTCACTTAGCATGGTCAATGGATGGGGTTTTGATCCGGGTGGTATAAGAGGGAGTGTGAAATGTTTGCGTAACTCCAATGTTATTCCCAATATATTTGTGAACGAATAGAAATCTAAATAATACTCACAATTGCTGAAGATTTCGTAAATATCTTTGTCCTTCTCCACCCTTTGTGTTTTCCTTAGAGGCTCAGGAAATGGTGCCATGATCTCAGGAATGGCTGATGGTGGAGTTGACTTTTGAGGTTCCTCCTCCTCCGGTTAATCTTTCTCCATAAGCTCATCTTCTTCTTCCTCATCGTCAATTTGGTTCACAATGCTTGGCATTTGTTTCAATTGATTCTCCAAGTTCTGTTTGTTGGACACTATTTCTTGCGGGCATTGTGACATGCTAGAATAAGAATTTTAGAACATGTGACATCTCCTTCCTGGATTGTATGTGTTGGGGAACAAATAATATCTCCTTTGGGATACTTTCCCTTGGAAACTAACATCATCAATTTGTTGAAAGTATTCTTCTTGGAGCTTTGGGCAAAAATCCGTAAGATGCCTGTGAGACATGCAAATGTTGCATGTCCGGACATCTTGAGATTTTGAACATAAAATAAACTCCTTTACCAAAGAAGTCAAGAGGGAAATTTGACTCTCTAGGGATGATATGTTGGTATCCATATACTTACGTAAGCTCAGAGAATAGAAAAGTAAGAACCCTTTATACTTTTATTTATTTATTTATTTTTATATTGATTTTTCTGAAATAAAATAAAAGAAAAATTATTGACTTTCCTCACCAATGACGCCAAATTTGACGTGCACTTTGTCATGGTGTGCACTCAAAATAATCAATACAACAATTATACGTAGTATAATGAAGTAAGGTTCGTATCCATAGGAAAAGGAATACTTCTCTTTTAATTAAATAGTAACAAGGGGGGTTTTAGATTGTTTTTGGAACTTTAAGAATATTTAAACACTAAGATGAATGAGTTATGTGTTTTAATTAATAGAGATGGAGATTTGGTTTTGCTTTTATCCACTTAGTGAAATGTTCATCGATCCCGGTTATATCTTTAACTCTCTTCCTCTCGATTACTCAATCGAGGAGTATCTCCAATTCATCGAGGGTAGTTATTAATAACGAGACGCGTTCATTAATAAAACTTGCTACCGAGTCAATATAGAACACGTGCCGTATATTAACCCGATAGTAGCAATAAACTTAAGATGAAAACGATTGAGATTGAAAACCTCAACACAAGCGGTTTATTGGTTTAATCAACATAATTAATTCCCCTTAAAATATTAACCATGAGATGCATGCATTAATAATCCGAGTTTACTACTGTGAAAAGACCGAACGATTAACAAATGTATTCGTAGATCGATTCTAGTAATAATTAATATATGAAACAAAACTAGTTGATCCTTTAAGTAATGTTCAAAATATTAATATGAAATATGAATAGGAATTAATTAATTATGAAGGAAGAAGATTAAAGAAAATAAACGCTACTATAACTAATGTCGAGATGTTAACTAATTGTCATCTTAGCAACACTCCCCAACATTAATATAGAGGTAGATTAAATTAATATGAAAGGAAGAATATTAAAGAAAAATAACTCAAACTTACAATCCATTAAGCTTTAAAGTAGCAAAATCATGATGGAAGAGTTCAGCTCCTCATTTGGAGGGTAAAGATGATAAAAATTATAAAGAAAGTACTTAACTAAACTGAGCTTAGAAGTGTATAGGAATTGGTTATTTTACTGTTAAGGAAAGGGGTGTACTTATAGGCTTTTGGGAGCTGCAGGGTCTGATATCCGACCGCGTATATCGGATACCCGATCGGGTATCTTAGGAAATTTCTCAGAAATTCACTTTTATGGGCATACCCGATCGGGTATGTGACAAATCTTTACGAAATTTTGCTCCCGCAATTATTTGTTCCCGGATTTGATTGGGACAATCGAATCAAGCAAATACCCGATCAGGCATTGCCTATACCCGACCGGGTATAAGAGTAAATTTTCCCAAGCAAAATCTTTCTTGCCTCCTTGCACTTTCCTTGATCTTTTGAGGTTTAATCTTGATCCCTTGGATGATCTTTGACCTGTTTAGCTCATAATAGTCCTAATCTAAACAAATTACAAATAATCATAAAAATAAAGTATTACGCTAAAAGTGTGTAATTTCCACAACCAGAACTAATAAAAACTAGTTAAAATTACAAACATAAACAATAACAATTCTATACTATCATAGTGCGACATAAAGTTTGTTTTAATGCAACACGGGAAATCCAATGGTTGATATATTATTTTTGATATTCTATGTATTTCTCATTTGAAACAAAATCTTTGTTTAAAAAACAACATTGCAGCTTTGAACCAGTTGATACTTGGCAGTTGACCCGACTAAAATAGTTTTGGGGCTATATTCTCCTCCGAAGCTCAAATAAGTCGGGCAGTTCACATACAGTCGGTACCTCCCAGATACAAAGCTTCCCACTTTCCACCGTATCTGTCCATCAACTCTGATGTTGATCATCACCATCCCAGCTCGCTCATCTTGGGTGAGCTCCTCCCCGATATAAGGCGCCATCGGGATGGACCCTCCATTCAGAAAGGGCGACCAGACAGAGACTTCTTTTTTCCCTTGGTATGTGTCTGGCAAAAGAGTGTGTAGTGTGATCTGCTGTCCGCCATAAGTAGCGTAGACATGCAGGTGGTCGTAGAAGATCCCGGCCCGCTCATTGGGATTGCTTGCGGCAATGGTTACCTACAGCGGGGGGGGGGGGGGGGGGGGGGCAAGAAATGTCACATTAGGAGGGGACGGGGTTACAGAATTTGTATTGGAGACCAATGTTCAGAGAAAATTATCAGAAGTAAAATCAAAAGATGTGGCGATTCCTAAAATGTTACGAAATATTACCTTCGTCCAGATGAACTTTGCATTGTTTGAATTAGGAGAGAAAATAAGAATAGTAAAAATTGTATGGTTGAAGTTTGTGTAGAGAAGAGAGAAATGAGCAGAACCACAAAGTAACTACTAGGAAAGTGGCAAAGTTTTTTTTGGCACAACAAAAAGAAAAAATTACAATTTCCCATGGGAGGGAAGGAGTAGTAAATACCACATAGTTTTTTATTCCTAAATTAATAATGTTTTATTAGAAATTAACCCAAATAGGATTAAAAGTGGCCTGAAACTCAAAATAGGACCTTTCATGTTTTTATTCCCAAATATGACCAATCCACTCCTATTTTGAAACACTAGTATTCTACCCGTGCGATGCACGTGAGAATAAAATTTGCAAATTAAGTAGAAGTTTTATATTATCATTATTTGTAATATAAACATGCTTATTTTGTCATATAATTTGTGGATGAAAATTTTATAGTTTACAAAAAATACACTCCTATGTGTGAATGATATCTACAATTTCGAAACTCCTTATACACAACCGTCACAATTGCATTGTTGATCATCACAATTTTTTAAACATGAGTTTTTTAGAAATTTTATTGCGGCGTATAACTATTTATTTTTATTTTAGGAAATAATGAACACTTCTAATGATAATTTGTCATTAAATATTAAACATAACACATCTCTAACATCATAGTTATCATCAATAACGTCATAATATTATATACTAATGAAAAGTGTTTCTTTAATATGCGTGAATTAGATTGTGTAATTATTGTCTAAATAATTGTGTCATTTTCAATGAGAACCTAAAGTCGGGAGGATGGTAGTACTAAATTAGATATTTAAATGTCAGAGGTAAATTATATTTTAACCAAACATTGTAATATTATTTAAAAAATCAAAGTTATATCAATATTTTCCAATCACACATTAGAAAGATTGGAATGTGTACACTATTAATCTCATTGTTAGAGATTGTACAAAAATAGTCAGTTTATTTTTTTGCAAGAAACGATATCATCCATTAACAATTTTGTGAAATGAGTCAACATGTAATAATACACAATAATGATAACATTAGATTGTAATCAACTTAAGTGTTAGAAGTAATGTTTTGAACTTCTTGAAAATCTGTGTTTATATAAAAAATATAAACATGTAGCATAAGGTCTGTTCAATTGAATTTGGACTGGTTTTATTTGTTATTATCTATGTGTAATTTTTAAATTAGCCTGTTTCTATATACTCTCTCCGATTCCGATACAAGTTTCACATTTGACTTCACACATATTAAGAAAATAAATTTGACTTTACTGTGGAGTGCACTGTTTGGCACTGTTTGAACATTGTTTGGCACTGTTTGAACACTGTTTGACACTGTTTGACACTGTTTTGATGTAAATAATAAAGAAATGTTTGAAAGTGGAACTTAATTTTGAATCTGCCCGAAAAGGAAAGGTGGAACTTGTTTCAGAAACGGAGGGAGTATGTTATATCAGATCAAATCAAAATATTTCAGAATAGTTGTCAATTAAGTAGAATAGATCAGATCATACCAGTATGTAGTAATAAAATATGAAATACACATCATTAACACACTTTTATGATATCAAATTATATTTTTTTGGGGTCATGATATCAAATTATATTAGATTTAGAAATTCCTATAATTCCAACAATTAAGAGTCTAACTGATTGGCTATCCCAAAAAACAACATCATTAACACACTTTAATTTTATGATATCAATTTATATTAGATTTTGAAATTCTAATAATTCTAACAATTAAAAATCTAATCGATCGACTATCCCAAAAAACAACATCATTAACACACTTTTATGATATCAAATTATATTAGATTTAGAAATTTCAATAATTCCAACAATTAAAAATCAAACTAATCGGCTCTCTCCCAATCTCATTTGTATACCAGAGGAATGACCGAGACCGTCTATTATGTGCCATGTACTGCAAGGGATACCACCGCTCCACCGCACCAGGTCGCCTGAGCCGTGCATGCTCCAATCTCCACCCTGTCTCCGTTCACCGTTCACAGAGGAGGGCGCTTCCCTTTTCACCGTTTGAAACTTGAAAGGACAACTATTGCTGCCCCATCGCCTCCCCGTTGCACGCATCTATTTCACATCTCATCACCCAATTCTGCTAAGTTCCCTTTGGTTTTTCTTTGTTAAGTTCTATCAATTATTATTTTCGGTCAAAATACCTTAAAGTGCTAGAGTATTTGGATCCATGATAATTTATTTAATCTAATACTCCCATTTTTCTGTCATTTTATTTAATCTAATACTCCCTCTGTCATGGGAAATTAATATGAAGTTTGGTTAAAATCCTTGAACATGAAAAGCCTCCTAGTAATTGATGTTGTTTAATTTCAGATATCTTTGGTCAAAATCCTTGAACATGAAAAGCCTCCTAGGGAATTATGAAGTTTGGTTAAAATCCTTGAACATGAAAAGCCTCCTAGGTGAAGCTTTTTAAAAACACAAATGAAGCAACACAAGAAACATAAGAAATAAATAATTTTTTAGCAATAATTACAATTACGATATATTTTTTAATATAGCGATTAATAATGAAATAATCATAATTACAATTGGTAACAATGAAATTGACCGATTCTACTGAAATTGATGAAGTTCCGGATGAATTGACCGAATTTGCTTAATAATGAAATAATCATATTTAAAATATATTATTAATAAAATAAAGAAAAATATATATGGAAAATATTTAAAATGTTCATCTATAGTAACTTCAGTAAAAAAAATGTACCCAAAGCTCACTTATTTTGATTATTATACAATTCAGTGAGCGGAATAAAAAGTTACGTGTTTGCTGAAAAAATGAATTATAAAACTAATAAGCCGAATAACGGGGTCAACAAATGGGTTCAAAAATCTCATAATTGTATAACGCAATTTCATTCTGCAATAAGCGAACATTTTATTTATTGACCGAAAGTGTCAATAGAGAATGCTCGTGACAATTATTTATTCTGTTGTTTTGATTTGATAATATAATCCCTCATCCCAGTTTAAGGTTCTCATGTGTCATTTTTCGATGTTTCAGCTAAATATTCTCATTTCTATTTTAGGAAATATTTAACAGTTTTAAATGACAACTCAATCACCGAATATTAAAAATAATACATCTATAACATTACAATTATCATCAATGACATCATTATATTATATACTCATCAAAACTATTTTTTAAAATATACACGAATTAACGGAACGATTCATTTTATCACGGTAAAATTCTTAGTGTAAATATAATAAATACTTTTTTTAATTCATATGTTACATGCTATGATTTTTTAGTACCAATTAATATATTTTTTTAAATTTGTGTCTCGACATCCCATTTTGATAAACTATTGCACATACTATATTGGATGATGTAGAACAATACTATTATATGCACATTTACTTAATACTCATATGGTAAATTATTAATATTAATTAATAACAATTAATTTTTGGACTATTATTAATTTATTGAAACATGGTAAAACGTATGAAGGAGTAAGGGATACCCAATTTGATAAAAAGTAATTATTAAGGCAATCAATAAATATAGCTAGAACTCATCTTCAAATGACATGTGGCTATGCATTATAATAGAATGACATGTGACAAATATTTCCTTCAATGTGACTCTCAATTGTATAATATATAGATATAGATATCGATATATATACTAAAGTTTGCATCCCATTTTTACTCCTGCACTTATTTACCCCTTTCTAGCAGTTTCTCCCTCCAAACAATTAATCGTTGCTTTCTCCCGACGTGACCAAAGGCTCACCGCAGCCGCATCTCACCTTCTCCCTTGCGCGGATTTGCCGATTTCATCGCAGGGCACCTTCGCCGCAGGGCACTTTCGCCGCTCCGCCTTCATTGCTCTTGTCTCTGTTTTCATCGCCTCCTACTTCTTTCTTCTTTTGATTTTGATTTTTAACATTGATTTTTTAGATTTTACACATATTCTTCTGTTTTTATTAATAGCCTAATATATTTTGGAATCTGCCTAATATATATTTAGGAAACTACCTAATATATATTTAGAAATACTTTGTATTTTGGCAACTCTTATATTATAAATATATCTGTCAGAACTCCTATTGGAGTACCCTTTCCCATTATTTCACATGGTATGTAGATACACAATTTCTTTCTTTTTTTCTCTTTTTTTTCCCGGTTCCATGAACCCTAGTATAGCCGCTTCCGCCTCGAGGTCGACTGCCGCCACATCTACGGTAGTCTCGAAAAAAAGAAATTCCAATATACTATAGTTTATAATCCTTATTTATTACTACGTGCTCTCAACGCCGTCTTTTAGGATTTGCAACAGGTGCTTGACACCGAGGCTCACTCTTATAGGGGCCTCCAAAAATTTAGTACTACGTATGTCATACTTCTTCCGTCCCAAAAACAACTTCCCATTTTTCTTAAATGAATGTCCCAAAATTAACTTCACACATCTTCCCACTTCCTTATTTGGCAAATTATCTATATCAAAACAATGTCAAACAATACCAAACAGTGCCAAACAATGTTAAACAGTGTCCAAACAGTGTCAAAACTGTAAAATTTACCCTCAGTAAGTTTATTTCCTTAATATGTGTGGAAAATGAAGTGTGAAGTTGTTTTTGGGACGGAAGGAATAGTAGTTATAGAATGATTTTTTTGAATGTTATGAATTATTCCAGATTTCAAAAGGTCTATAACTTGATTGTCTAATTTGTGTACATTAATTATTATAAGACTTATATTTCGCTAAATTATCTAATCTATTTGTATTTTATTATTAAATTTTGTATACTTTCTTGTTTTAGGGACTTCAATTCGTCATTTGCAATCGAACTCTCCAAATTCATTAGATGGCTCCGCATGCTCTGTAATATCAGGGACGGATGTATGCTAGGCCAGGGGTGGGCTTCAGCCCAGCCCAATTGTTTTTAATAATATTGGTACATTTTCAAATCTCAGCTCAGCCTAAATTATTTGTCAGCCCACCCCACAAATAATTTCCAGCCCAGCCCACAAAAAAAACTGGCAACTAAACCATACGTCATTACGCAGTTACGCACACGGCCACACGCAGTCGGCAACTTAACCTCGGAACCTCCGATTCTCCGAACACCGAAGGGACGAAGACAACGAACGAAACGGGCGAAGTGGCGAACGGCGAAGGGCGACGGAACAGCCGCCGCACTGAAGCAGCGAACGGAACGCTGAACGCCTCTGGCTCCGACCGACCTGACTACCTCCAGCCTCCCTCTCTCGACCTCTCGCTTTCTCGACCAGTCCTCCAGGCTCTGGCGACCGACACTCCGGCAGACGGCCGCAGTCCAGCGGCCAGCCTTCATTCCTCCAGGTAAATCTTCTTGCGGTCTTGCCCTTTTACCAAGTAATTTGTGCCCATTTGGTATAATTTGACCGATTGAGTTTGGTGTTGGTGTTGAATTTTAATTTGTGTAGTTCGTGAATTTTAATTTGTGAATCAGTGAAGTTATGAACTTCTGCCGTGAATTTGTAAACTGTGATTAACTGATTGTGTATTAAACTATTAATGTATTAATTATTATCATTTTTAGCATTTTAGAGTTTTAGGGCTAGGGAATCATACAATCATTTTGATTATTAATTGAATTTTTTAGTACATAATTAAATAGTTTTATTTTTTATATATAAGTATTTTAATATATACCAATATTGAAAATGTTTTTTAGAATGGATAATGAACATGTTGCCAAGAAGGGAAAGAAGTTGATTTCATCATTCTTTTCGAAAGTGAATCGTCAAACTGGTGAAGGGAGTTCTGAACCTATACCTACAACAGTGCAAGATCTAGTCAATGAGGATCCTCCACATGCTGTAGTCCCTGAAATCCAAACTATCTCAAATTTGGATTTCAATGCTCGATAGACATTCTCGAATGTAGAAGTTTAGACTATTCTCGTTAATAGATTCATGTTCAAATTATTCAATAAATATTCAAATTTTTATTAATCATTAATAAATTTCTAAAAATTGCACTAAAACGTTTAAATTTTATGATATGTACAATAGTATAATTTATATGTGAACGATAGGCTCGTGTTCGGATCGAAACATCACTATGTTCGATCTCGGCTTGAATAATTATTCAAACTCAAAACCTACTCCGTGTTCGAATTCGAAACTTGTAAACTCAATTCATTAAATTAGATTCGAAATCAAGCTCGAACTCGAGTATATAATTCAAAAAAATCTTTGTTCGATAACAACCCTGAGCTAAATTTGGTATGTATAATAAAAAATAATTACTGCTGCTTAGCTCACCTCATCTCTCGATCCTCGATCCGCCCCTGTGTAATATTGATTCCAATATATGTACATCAAATATTTTCTTTCTCCACCACTATATTACCTGGATATCAGTGTTGATATAGGCGTTGGTGATACTGGCGGCTGTGAGATTGGCGGTAAGATTGAAGTCGTAGACGGTGGCGTCTTGGAGGATGAATGCGGGTTTGATAGGTTGGAGGAGGAGCCAGGTGAGAAAGACTCCGAAGAGGATGAGAACGGTTAAGCAGAAGAGGCCGGTGAAGAGGGTAAAGCAGAGCTTCCGCTTCTCATGCTGGTGGTGGGAACACTCTTCCGGTCCGACATTGGGTGGGGATGAGAGTGTTTGGCAGTGATTTGTTTATAATTAATTTGGGTAAGGAAGGGTACTTAATTTGCCAGGAAGGCTTTATACAAATAGATAGATCAAATGATCTATGCATTACGTGTGGGAAGCTTTCTGCGGTTTGCTATTATTAGATTAGATGTGATAAGCTTCGCCGACCGCCACAGTTTATGATTAAAAAACTTAAAACTTCATTTCAGATCATCAGACCATTTGTACTAGAGAACCAACGTGCTCTATTGGAAGGACTCCGGGATTTGAGCTTCCGGGTCAACCGCATGGACGATGACAACCGACGGGCAATAGCCCTCATCTATGCTTACCGTCATCAGCAGGGGCACTTCTCCTCTATGCGTCCCCAAGTGCAGCACCCGTCATGGTATGACCCCTCTCAGTGGGGTAATTTTGGGGAGGACGGCGGCTACAGTGGAGGAGACTATGGTGGCGGCTACAGTGGAGGAGACTATGGTGACGGTCAGCCTGACTTTGACGGAGACGAGCACTAGGAGACTATGGGACATATAGTGTATGTATTTAGAATTAATGTAAATTGTAAATCCAGAATTATATCTAAAAATGAATTTATGTTGAGTGTAAAATGTAATGAAATATAGATTTTTTTTATGGGAACCAAAAAGATGTATGTATATATTAAATCTAAATATGTATGTATATATTAAGTCACTTTAAATTTGATTAAAACTGTAAAAAAGAAAACAAGAAACATAATATATGGAAAATTAAAGTTTGGAACAAAAAAAGGGAGGAAGGATTCGGACCCTTGACCTACGGAAGGCCTTAAAACGCAATAAGCTCTTGATTGTGTGAATTTCCTATCATGTATGTTTGTATTTTTAACTAGTTTTTATTAGTTCTAGTTGTGGAAATTACACATTTTTGGTGTAATACTTTGTTTTCATAATTATTTGTAATTTGTTTAGAAATGTGGCTTTCCGGGAAATTTCCTAAGATACCCGATCGGGTATCCTATATACCCGGTCGGGTATCAGCCCCTGCAGCTCCCAAAAGCCTATAAATACACCCCTTTCCTTCACAATAAAAATATCCAATTCCTTTGTACATCTAAACTCAGTATAGAATAGTTCTTTCTTTATATTTTTCATCATGTTTAGTCTCCAAATGAGGAGCTAAACTCTTCCATCTTGGTTTTGCTACTTTGAAGCTTAATGAATTTGTAAGTTGTGAGTTATTTTCTTTAATCTTCTTCCTTGAATATTAATTCTTCCTTTAAAATACTATTTCTATATCAAAGTTGGGGAGTGTTACTAAGATGACAATTAGTTAACATCTTGACATTGGTTATAGTAATAGTTATTTCTTCCTCTATGTTAATATTGGGGAGTGTTACTAAGATGACAATTAGTTAACATCTTGATATTAATCATAGTAGGATTCATATTCTTTAATATTCTTCCTTGAGTATTAATTAATTCCTATTCATATTTCATGTTAATATCTTAAACATTACTTAAAGTATCAACTAGTATTGTTTCTTATATTAATTATTACTAGAATTGATCGGTTAATACGCTTGTTATTAATCCGGTTCTTTCAACGGTAGTAAACTTGGAATATTAATGCATGCATCTCATGATTAATATGCCAAGGGGAATTAATTATATTGATTGAACCAATAAACCGCTTGTGTGGAGGTTATCAATCTCAATCGTTTTCATCTTAAGTTTATTGCTACTATCAAGTTAATATACGGCGCTTGTCCTATATTGACTCGATAGTAAGTTTTATTAATGAACGCATCTCGTTATTAATAACTACCCTCGATGAACTGGATATACTCCTCGATTGAGTATTCGAGAGGAAGATAGTTAAAGATATAACCGGGATCGATGAACATTTCATTAAGTGGATAAAAGCAAGACCAAGTCCTCATCTCATTGAATTAAACTCATATAGGTTGTTTATCTTAGTGTTTTTAAATCAAACAAATCTAAACCCCCCTTGTTACTACTTATATAAAAGAAAAGTATTCCTTTCCATGTATATACGAACCTTACTTCGTTATACTACGTATATTCGTTGTATTGTATTTATTTTGAGTGCACCTCACGATAAAGTGCACGTCAAATTTGGCGCCGTTGCCGGGGAAAGGCAATTACTTTTCTTTTTATTTTATCTCATAAAAATCAAAAACAAAAAAAAAATATAAAAAAAAAAATCTTGCTCTTCTATTTTCTGAGCTTACATGAGTTATGAGTATATGGATACCAACACTTCATCCTTAGAGAGTCAAATTTCCTTCTTGACTTCTCTAATAAAGGAATCTATCTTTAACTCAAAAGCTCAAGATGCCAAGACTTGCAACATTTGCATGTCTCACAGGCATCTTACGGACTTCTGCCCAAAGCTTCAAGAAGAATACCTTGCACAAATGGATGATGTACCTCACATGAGGTATGATCCATTCTCCAACTCTAATATGTCCACGGAGGACATGGTTCGGGCTCTTACTAACAGCGTAACCACCATGCAACACAACATGGTGCAATTTCAAAATGAGACCAAGTCTAGCATTTTGAGCTTGGAATCTCAAGTGAGTCAAATAGCCGGAGTTGTGAGTAGGCTTGAAGCAAGGGATTCGGGAAAACTTTCCTCTCAAATAGAATGTGATCCTAGACAGCAAACTTTTGCAATCACATTGAAAAATGAAGAGGAAATGCAAAAAGAAATCCAGAATCCAGAAGAAGTAGAGGAAGAAAAAGACACGGAGCTCCAACTGGTCAAAGAAGAGGATAATCTGAGCTTCAAGGTTAAATATCTATCCTTGTCATCTTTTGAGGTACCCCCATCAATTCTAAAAATTTTGAGGGAAACTCATAAACTTGAAAAGGACAATGACATTTCTGAAATATTCTTCAAAATTGAGGAGTCGAAAAAATTTTTATTGACCATACTAAACGATAATTTCTTCCCATTCCTCCCACCACACGAATCAATGAAAATCTGGATATTTGATCCTGGAAAGATTTCCAAAGTGGAGAGTCGAGAAATTGAGCACTCCTATGGAAGTCCTAGGAGTGAAAGTGTGAAGAAAATAAACTATCATGATCCAAGTTTGAATGACTGAAAACAATGATAGCGTCGTGCCGCCACGTTAAATGAGGCGCTTCTTGAGAGGCAACCCATGCAAGGTACGTTTACTTGTTTTGTTTTATTTTTACACATTTCAAAAAAAAAAAGTTTTGTGCACCACGGCTTAATACCTGATCGGGCACATATATCCGGTCGGGTATAAGAGAAATTAAATTTCAAAAACTACGGCGAGAAGAAGTCGATCGGGTATGAAAATCCCAGAAATCGAAGAAAAGGAAGATACCCGATCGGGTATAGCCACTTACCCGACCGGGTATGCTTAAAACGTGAAATTTCGGAGCTCACTGTCTCGTGTACTCGATCGGGTATGAAAATCCCAGAAATCAAAGAAAAGGGAGATACCCGATCGGGTATAGCCACTTACCCGACCGGGTATGCTTAAAACGTGAAAATCTGCAGCTCACTGCCTCGCGTACCCGATCGGGTATACACACTTACCCGGTCGGGTAAGCGGGATTACTCAGCATTTTAATTCACGAACTACCTTCTTCTTCCCAAATCCCTTCCCCAAATCCGACCAAACCCTCCCCAAACCTCCATAGCCGGTTTTTCTATCTCAAATTACTCCCTGAATTCTCCACCAAATCCCTCCAAACCACCACCAAAATATTCCCCACATCTCCCTCTACACACCCATACCCATCAACACCACATTCTCTCCCAATTTCGTAAAGTCCGAAAAAAAAACCCAACCCCACCACATAAAAGTCCGAAATTTGGAGCCCTAAATCCAATTTTTCTAGCAAAAATGGCACCAAAGAGAACAAGAGGAGAAAGTTCTTCTTCAAGAGCACCGGTTCCCGGCTTTGAAAACATCATCATCACCTCATCCGCTCACCGGGAAAAAGTCTTGGCCCAAACTAAAAGAGAGGTACATCATTCCCGTTTTTTGTGTATGAATACTTTGGATGAGCTAGAAATTCTTGCTATGATGCTTCAATTAGGTGAATTGTTGGGAATGAGCAAAATTTTTGGGTTGAAATATAACCCAAATGATGAACTTGTGTATGAATTCTTGGGTTCCGTTGAGAGAATCAAAGATGATAATGATGATAGGGAGGATAAACTCACGTTTCGTTTATTCAATAAAACACATTCCATAACAAAACGTGAGTTTGCGGAGCACTTTGGCTTGCCCGTGCCACCACAAAACGCCCAAGAGCCCGACACCGGGTATGGCTTTGAATTGTGGAAAAAATTGACGGGGGAAATGACCTTTAGCTCCACAAATCTTGTCATAACCCATGTCCAACACCCGGTGCTACGCATTTTCTTGAAATACTTGGTTAGCTTTGTGTTTGGACGCCCCAACAATCACCAAGCACGAACAGGTGATATATGTATTCTAGCTAATGCATTGTTTGACATACCTCCCTTCCACTATAACATTGTGAACCGTATGTGGGAACATCTGTACAAAGAATGCACCGCCCAAGGAAAAATTTGGATAGGGGGCGTTATTCTCCACATAGCTACAAAATTCGGTTACGTAGACAATGCACCAATAGTCGAATTCTGTCTTTTTGACATAACACATCTGGGCAATTCAAAGGACATCAAGTTCTCTCATCGTGATTACAAGGGGAAAATCTTTTACAAATGGTCCATCTTCCTGAAACCCACTCGTTACTTCACGATCCCCTCCGAGGGGCTACCCACTATTCCATTCCGAGTAGAACCACCTCTTGTGCGCCACT